AAAAATCTGTTGGACACTCATGTTTAAAAGCTAAAATGTATTTGGACACATCCTAAATAATGCTACAAACTATTTACTAAATTACTACCATTTGTGGAATTAAACTTTACTTTGCCCTGCCTTTCTAGGTCATTTTCTATTTTCCTCTGGGTTCTGGAGAACTAGCTACCATTAACTCAGTTAAAATTCTGGGCTTATAGCACCTTTCACCATTATTCCATTACCTCTATGAAAAGAGCCCATGTCAGACTCAATATTGATCAAAATGACCCCTCTAGAGGAAGTTATTTATATTTATATATTTGAGAACAAATCAGTATTCAGTTAGGATAACATTTTAGCTCTTAAACTAATAAAGTGACCCTATTAAATATCTGCTTTTCCATGCATATTGAATTCAGAAGCTCATAGGAGGTAAACACTGCTAAGAAACACCATTCCACACGGCAGAAAAATGGGAAATTGCTTGCTACAGTTTTATGGTTCCAAGATCCATTTAAGTCTCACAGTGTTCAGTTACATGGATGTCATTAATGCACATGCAGCATTATCAGTGCTTTCCAGACATGAGTCTCATTATTGTCATTAGTCTGACTCTCTTCTGATTCTGGAAGTTTTGCAGATTAGAGGGAAGAAATGTACTCAAACTCAAGGAGCCATGACTGCTAAGGTTGAAATGATAAAAGTGGAAAAATAATATCATTCTACTTGCAGTTATTTTGATAGAAATCGTCTGCAAAATATATGTATAATATTTTTATAGGATTAAATTTAAAATATAATACCAATTATTTTATTGAAATATTTGGTAATTATATTTCTAATACATGGAAATAGTAATTGAAAACAAAATACATATTTATTTAAAAAACAAGCAAAATGAAAATAAGGTAATATATAATTTAAATTATACCTTGTATTTAAAAAGTGAAATTGTATGTGTTAAAGAAAAGAATATTATACACAGTTATTACTATTACAACTGTAAACGTTCCATGTTATATTGAAAATTTTTGAAAGTACATACAAAGAGAGAGAGTAGCTAAACTAAAATGTGTTCTCATAACCCAGAATTTCCAAAAACAATATACATTACAGAAGAGACTGGATAACATTTTGCCCCATCCACTCTTATCCCAAAACTCCTCTAGATGCAATGACTCATCTGAATTAAGTATAAATCCTTTCTATGCTTTGCAATATTGATAACTATGCCATTATTTTATAGGAAAACTAATCATTTACATTTATGTTGACAGTTACATGTATTTGCCTGTTAGGTTCAAACTTCAGGAAGGGATAGAAAGATACAACAGTAGTTCAAGTCATCAGTTACATGGGAAAAAATCATGATCAAGTTAGAAATGAACTGACTAATCACTGCAGCAGTCAGGAGATACAGCAAAGCAGTGTACCCATGTTCCTCAGCCCTAAGGAAGGTGTAAATCAAGATATGTATGTATGTATATATATATATATATATACACACACACATGTCTTTGTCTTTCTAATGTGTTGGTTTAATGTGATAATATTAAATACATACCGACAGGAGCTTAACGTGGCAGATGGTCCTTTCCAAAGATGGTTGAAACGGTATCTCCCCCTACTGCCATGGTTAATAAGCCATGTGCAGGTGATCCGGTCAACAGCCCAGCTGAGCTTCCAGCAGACAGCCAGCATCGATTGCCAGCATTGCAATGACCCATTCTGGAATATCTAGCTGAGCCAAACCTTCAGATCACTGCTGTCCGAGACGACATCTGATTACAGCTATATGAGACACCTGAAGTGTGCTCAGCTAGAACCTTCAAATACCTAGTACACAAAAGCATGAGTAAAATAAAACGAATTTTTAAGCTGCTAAGTTGTGGGGTAATTTGTCATGCAGCGAATATATTCTAGACAATTTTAAAATCAAATAAGATGTTAAAAACAATTTAAAATAATGAAATTTTAGTCGATATTATTGAGATAACAAAGATATCCTTTGCTAGTTGAATTTACATGAAGTTATTATTTGTTATAATGACAACACCAGTTTTCCTAAAAATTCATCATCCAAATAGATAATCGGCTGTACTCTGAATTGGATTGCGTTCTTTAAAATATTATGCATAATCACCATCATTTTCCCACAATATGCAGTGAAAATATCATCTGTGAAAGAGAAAAAACTTGTGAAGAAAATGTGAGTCTCACAGCCTAGAAAAGTGCTTATATTATAAATAAAAATTGGGACAAATGATAGTGAATTGAAATATGTGAAAGATGAGTGACTTGAGCATAAAGAACATGCTTGGTTTTTTCATGCATGAGAAACTTTAGGATGAGAAGCAAGAAGTCTTTGGCAATAAAGCATTCAAAGATGGGCTAACAGTGCTTTCAGATGGAAGGTGAGGTTATATAAAACTTTATTTGGTGAATCACTCCGAAAATGAAAAGATCCATGAGGGAATACTGAAGAGTACCTGTTATATGGCTGTCAACTCAAAACCACCTTAACGAAAAAGCTGCTAAATGATTTGAAAATCTATCTTATTTATATAATATTAAATAACATCTAACAAAATTCATAAATCACTTAATAAACAATAAGTATAAATTCTAAATATAGTGATAGTAAAACACACAGCTCTTCTGATGCCAGAGGATGCTCTTGGAGAGCATTCTATTGTTGGTCTATTGTGTAGAGAATTTGTGAGTAGTCATTTCACCTCCCAGTACCATGGTATTATTGACGTCTTTGGACCAAGGCTCTTGCCACCCTCCCCTCATGAAAAGGTAAATGCAAATTAAAAATGCAAATTAAAACTAGCATTAATTTTAGATAACATTTCTCTTTCTGTTGGCAAGTGTTGAGGAAACAGGCAAACGGTACAACTGCAGGGAGGGAATTTTGTCAATATCTTACAAATTATAGTACATTTAGCTTTGGACCCAGTCAGTGCATTTCTGGAAATCAATTCCAAGGATACACCTTCATGAGAATAAAATTACATATGAACAAGATTAATAATTGTAGAGATTAATAATCTGTAATAGAAAAATAATGAAAACAACACAAATGTCTATTGATAGGAGACTATTTGAATAATATCTTTCTAAGAAAGATGAAAAGCTTGTGAAAAAATTAAAGGAGTCTAACAGGCCTAGCTAAGGGCATACAGTTGAGGTAAATGAGCAAATGATAGTGTGTTGAGATACAGCAATCCATGAAAGATCCAGTCATGGAAGGCGTGCTTAATTTTTTCTATGAATGAACATTTTCAGAGAAGAAAATAAAAAGCTCCAGTTCATAAAACATTCAAAGAGAGGCCAATACTACTTTAGATGGAGATTGCAATTATGTTATACTAACACTTTTGTTGGAAAATCTCTCTAAAAATCCTGAAGCTTTTTACTTACAGCTCCTTGAATCATAAAACTTGCATGATAAAGATATTAGTCAATAATTGTGTGATAAGTGAGCAATTACCATTTATTAAATACACAGAGAAGGAAAAACTGACAAATAAGGCTGTTCTGATTCTAGATGAAATCGAGTCAGAAAGGATGAAGCAAATATGGTAAAATGTTAACAATTATCAAATAGAGTTAACAGGGGCATTCATTTTATCATTCTATTTTTCCGTGTGTTTAAAATAGCCATGATAAAAATTGGGGGGGAAAAGCATTGTAAAATACAGAGTTTTAAAAAATATCAAGCAGTCTCATGTTTTCAAGAGTTGTGTAATTGCAAGCACAATGAATTTGAGGCAATAGTCACTTTGACTTTCGTCATCGTTCTGTGGCTTCGTGTCTGGCTTCAGATGAAAATTCACAGCCATCCACTCTCTGAGCCTCTAGTGCCCAGGAGAGACCAAAGTTCACATCCCTCTGTGCTCAGACGAGGACACATGGCAAGACTTTACTTGCACTCCTTCCTGTACTAGCTCACTGTTGCTCACATTTACCTTCCTTTGAACACCAACAGCTTCTTCCCTCTTCTCTTGTGACCAACTGCACTCTACTAATACTTCAGTCTGTTAGGAACCATTATTTTTAATTGCCTTATTTGTTTTTACAAATGATATTTGTACCCATTGTTTACCTTTAAAATAATATTTCATTATTAAAAGAACTCATTGAGTGACGCTTAGAAGGAAAATGTAATACCTACATGATACTGTGCAAAGTTGCTCTGATCTGAAAACATAGCTACTAAATTAGTTTAGCATTAAATTAGTGGGTAATCGTGATACACGCTTCGTATGAGGCAGAAATTCTCTTCACATTGTCAGAAAACTGCTAAAGTGTGTTTTAGAGATACTTTGTGAGATTAAGTTTTTACTATTCCCTTTTTATTTCTCTCATTTAAAAACAATGCCATGTGGCTTGTATTATCTAAAACGTGTAAACGATGGAGTAGAAAGATGTGAGAAGAATTTAGGAAATGTGGGGAAATGTGATTTTTTTTCCTGGTCATTATCAAAAACTAAATCAGTGATACAGTTCACATACATATAAGCATACAGCTTTATATGCTAATCGTTCAAGAAAATCTATATATATGCTGAATATTTCTATATTCAGTACACTTTCTGTATTCAAAACTCATTCTCTTCAGTGCCTATTTTACTGTTTTTGCACCTATTCCATTCCAGGATTTTATTAGGTAAATATTGTTTTTCATACATATAAAATGGATTTTTCTTTTATTTCACAGGAGTATCTATATTTTAGCATTAAGCTTTGTTATTTTTTCATAGTGTACAGTAATAAACTGGAGTTGCATTCAAATGACGTGGTTTATCATGTTAAATCTTTCACTCTTGATTCTGTATATTCTAGATAAAAAACAGAACTTAAGCTAAAGAAAAATGATTTTTATTAATAGTTTAGTATATTTTCAGTACTTTCACAAAGAAGGAACAACTGTTGCTTTGGTGAATTATAAAATGTTTTATATAATGGACACAATATATTCATTTGTATTCTTTTGTTTTTCATGTTCTCCCAGAATGAGCACTGTGTTTATCCAGAATGAGTACATGATGAAAGAAAACAAGACCAGACTGATGGAATTGTAAGTGTCTTTGCGAATCCCTCCTGTTGTTACCCAGCAACGGTGACTGTTAATCTTTGTCCTTTGCCCTCTTGCATGACCTCATTTCCTCTGGTTCCGCTGTGTTTTCCTTTAGTGCTCGCACTGCCAAGACTGGAGGCTATTACAACTCACTTGCTTTCAGTACTGAATAAATGGTCTACCAGTTTGAACTTTTATACCAATATTTCTGCTCTCAGTATGTATTTCTCTTTTTCATTCTGGAGAGTTGGACAGTGCACTTACGTGTTTTGGAGATAAAATAATACTATCAAAATACTGTATTGAAATGTAAAATCGATAGCTAGTGGGAAGCAGCCACATAGCACAGGGAGATCAGCTTCGTGCTTTGTGACCACCTAGAGGGGTGGGATAGGGAGAGTGAGAGGGAGACACAAGAGGGAGGAGATATGGGGATATATGTATATGTATTGCTGATTCACTGTGTTAGAGAACAGAAACTAACACACCATTTTAAAGCAATTTATACTCCAATAAAGATGTTTAAAGAAAAAATACTGTGTATTGAAAGGCAGTATAATTTTTACTTCCTGAATATAATTATATTTTAACCAGAGCAGAAAGTTTCAGTATTTACTTAGAAAGTTATTACCCTTATGTATTTGTTTTTTTGTTTGTTTGTTTAGAGAATTAAGTTCAATACCAGTCTCAGTTGGAATTTTACTTCCTTTTTCATAACTTAATTTCATCGAATATATTTATTTAAGGAGAGAAGGAAACGGCTAAGCTGAAAAATTAACTGATTTTCTTGTCCAAGCAAGGACTGAAAGACAGAAAATCACTGTTAAGTGTTAGAAAAGCAAAATAATTCCAATAATATCATTATTTTATTTCTGTCCCTTTAAACATTGATGGCAGATAATGGTTGATTTTCATTTTTCAAAAAATGTCCAAATATCATTATCAAATTTTATATTATATTTTATTTTCAATATCATGGATAATATGTAACATTGCTGAGTGCTTATTATGTGCTAGATACTATTTTAAGCACCTTGTTTATATTAATTTATTTAATTTGCACAAGAATTTATGAGGGAAATAATATTGTAGCCCCTATTTTATAGTTGAAACAAAAGCCGAAAACAATATAAGTGGTGGGTATAGCAGGGATTTGAATACTACAAGGTGATTCTAGTTTCTATTTATGTGTTTTATCATTAGCCATATAGATGTTCTGTTACCATTACTGCTTCCCCTGACCAAAAAGAATAAATAGATATTTTTTAAAGTTCCGACTATTCTTGAGGCCTACGTAGCTGACATTTTTCTCCATTTGAATTTTTGGAACAGTTTATTATTAATTTTATGTTTCATTCAGATGGTTCTCTGCTATTTTCTAAGAAAAAAATATAAAGCAAAATAAAGAGTTCAGATACTAACTGTACACTTTAAAAATGATGAAACTACAAATGTGAAGGAAGCAGATTTCAAAACCTATAAAGTGTAAAAATTTAGAAAATCATCGATTTAGGTGTTTTTTAGTAGATTAGTTCAACTTAGACTTTATATTTCCAACAACAGAGTAAGGAATCTGCTATGGTCTGAGTGTTTGCATCCTCCCCAAACTCATATGTTGAAATCCTAATGCCCCACATGATGGTATTTAGGAAGTGAGGCCTTTGGGAGGTGCTTGGGTCATGACTCTGTAACCCTCATGAATAAAACTGATAGAATTGATTATACTTTCTACATCAAAATCATTACAGATTGCCTGGTTTATACAAGTCACTATGCTATGCAACTTATATGCATTAGTTTTAATACTGAATTCAACATTTGAGGTTTATATTATTATTATTCCCATTTACAGAAAAGTAGTTAAGATAAAGGGAAGAAAAACTGGGCTAAGTTTTGGCATTGGTTGGAATGTAAGAATATTTAATCAAGCAGAATGTGAAAGAAAAATACTTAAATATCAAAAAATAATTCAAATATTTTGATATATGTAGTAAAACACTTGGAATACTTAGAAAGTAATGATATTAAAAAGTTTAAATAATCACACTTAAAACCAGTACTGCATAAAGATACTATACATCATTGTATGTAAAACTGCAAAATTATTTTCTTGAAAAATATCACAGTCAATTGTAATTGAGGAAGGACCTTGGCTGTAATTGCCATTGAGGCATAGTAAATTTTTAAAATTCTGAGTAAATTGTGATGTATTTATTCAGATATTCAGTTGAATTGTATATTATCATAAATATAAAAGTCCACACTATATTTGAGTAATTTCTAGATCAACAGATACCAAAAAGCAATGAAAACTGTTTCACAAAATCATAAAGGAATGGGTTCTCCAAAGAACTTCTATGCATATTTCAGGAAATTCTAGAATAATGGGTCTAATCTTGAGAATCCAAATAATACATTTTGAATGTTACCTCTTCCATCTTATCTTCTTTCTATTAAGATATCACAAGAAAGCCTTTGAAAATTAAGCAATTGTGAATTTGGGAGTTAGAAATCTGAGTTAAAATGGATTTTTGAGAGAGGGTGAAATACAAAGTCTTTAAAAAAGTAAAACCACAAATTTTGAGTCAGTAAAAGGAAACTTTCCCAAGACATATATGATATGTTATCTAAAGAGAGAAGGTAAGAGGACAGATTAAAAGGGGAAAAAACAAAAAACAAAAAACCCTAAAGGATATTTTTTAGGAGAATAACTGGGGAACAGAGAGGATGATTTAGTAAGTAATATCACAGCTCCCAACCCAGAATATAGGGACTGAGCATTACTAGGTGGCAGGAGGAGAACTACAAAGAAGATTCTGATGGGTTGAAGAAATCCCAGCAGGTGATGAGGAGAACACACTAAGGTAGTATTAACCAGAAGTCAGAAATGCAAAACCATAAACGTGTACTTTGTTTTCAGAAATCGAAGGCACTTTAAAAAATATAGAACTAAAATATTAAAACTGTGGAGACTGGTGAGAATAAGAATATCTGCAACCTACCAAGGGTGAGATACTTTATAGCAATAATAATCTTTAAAGCCTTAGAAGGAACCTATGAAGTAAGTATGATCGTTGCTGCTTTACAAAAATATGTTAGAAATTTACTCCAAGGGTTAAGAGTATGCACTGCTTATTCTGAGCCAAACACGAAGCACTCTGCATGGATCATTTCACTGAATCCTTAAGGTAGTTCCTTGACTTCCATACCCGGCTCTTTCCCACCCGACCAATGAGGCATCCTGGGCCGGAGAGCTTAACTCTACTCAAGCGTCCACACCAGTGCTTCCGGCATCCTGGGCAAGCCAGTCTTTTGATGTGCACCTGCAAGCCTCTTTCTCTGTTGCAGGACTTTGTCATATCTGACCCTGACCCGGGAAATAATTACCAGGCATAGAAATCTAAAGCACTCCACGTATTTTCAAATGCCTCTCAACAGTTAGAAAACAGGTGAGCAGAGGGAAGAGATTTGGGAACGTATGTATAGCTGATTCACTTTGTTATAAAGCAGAAACTAACACACCATTGTAAAGCAATTATACCCCAATAAAGATGTTAAAAAAGAAAACAAAGAAACAAATTAAAGCACAGTTTGCTTTACAGGGATGCATACCTCAGGGTTTTTTTCCCACCAGGATTCTCTCTTTTAAAAGTATAAGGGTTGCTACATTGTGAGTATCTCACTGTATACATCAAAGGAAGAAAAGAAAGTATCAACTCACACATTTATTTTCATTGACTTCTCCAAGAGCCTGCAGAGGTAAATGGGAGAGATGCAATGCCTGGAAAAGCAAGATAATCAAGCAGCTTCCACTGTTTTGGAGGAGAGATCTATAGTTATATGATTTCATGTAGACAGTTTCAGGTTAAGCTTATTTAGGCAAAGGAAAATGTCACTTTAATCAGAGGAAAATGAAATTCAGATACAAAGTCACTGGTACTCTGTAATATTCATTACTATAGAGCTTTTTAATTTCCCTTAGAAAATGTGTGCATATGTGTGTATATTGCACAAATATTTAGTTGTTAGTTTTATTTTCCCTTCAAGACTCAACTCATTTCTGTTTTGATCTCTATGAAGCTTTTTCACACTTTTCCAGCTCCCAAATACTCAGTTCTAATAATCTGTTTTGCTAATGCACAGTAAGAATTAAAATACAGTAGAACAATAAGAATTAGATTGAAAATAAGAAGAAAAGTCACCATCAGTATCTTAAAATTTCCTGACACATAAGAAATATAAACTATAAATATCACTTAATATAATTTTAGTAAACAAGTTAGATATGAAGACTATAAATATATTGATATACACTTGCTAAAAATACATATTTGTATACTTCACATTACTGTAGTCTAATAAGATTAAGTATTTTGAAAAAAATCGAGATCACAGAGAGATGGAAAAAGGTAATAATAATAGAGCTTTGAAAATCAAAGTAGAACAGCGGATGGATAACCCAAGGATGTTCTCTGGAGATGACCCAAGGAAAGGCCCACACTCTGATCCTCTTTCAGTTAAAACTCAACAGTCCATTTGCTTTTTCTCCCCCTCATAAACTATCATGAAAGTTTTCCTGCTCAAGAACAACTGAACCAAAAGTCAGATGGACCAGTTATGCCACTGAAAAACCTTAAAAAGATAAAATTTTTACTCTCTTGCTCTTAAGAAAATTGCCATTTGTCAACCCCAAATCCATCTCTCTCCCACAGAAATAGGGTCATGGCTGGTCACATGGCTGCTCAGCTGGAGCCTAAATATTCCAGTCTTCTTTGCAGGCAGGAGGATACCAGATGACTAAATTCTCCTGAGTGTCTGTGAGCTGAAGTCACATGTACCACAACTAGGTATGGGTTCTGGGACAGCAGATGTGTGCTCTTACACACTCTTCAACATCTGCAGACAGAAGGGGCATGACTGTCACTCAGCTTCTGCCATGCAGACACATCAGCCCCCTAGAACATGGCAGAGCCATGGATGGGAGTAGTTCTGATTCTCTG